TATTTTCAAATATTATCAAAAAAAATTTTATTTAAATATATTAAAATTTAAAAAAAGTAAATCATAACTATATTTATAATAATTTTCCAGGCAAATTTGTCTAGAAAAGCCTATAGTTTAAAGGATAGTTCTAGACAGTGTTGTCAATGAACATAGACATGGATATGGATATGCATTAGACATAGACATTTTATGTCTATAGACAAACAAAGGTTATATCCAAAATAATGCCTATATACAAGAAATATAAATACTTTGTAATTTATCAAAGCAAAAATCACTTAATTATAGTAATCTAGATCATGTAAACCAAAATTAGAACTATATCTTAACTTACTTATCATACAACTTATACTTATAATACTGCAGTTTTAACGATAATTATATAATATAATCTCTATTTGAGAAACCTTCGATATAAAAAAAGCTAATATGTAGAAGTTAAACGGAAACCAGTTTGTAATAAATCTATAAACTCTCAAAAAGTTTAGTAAAGTTTTATTATATATCTGATCATTTTCTTATCGATAGTCATTTGTACTAAAATTGCTCCTTACAAAACAAGATACTGTAAATAATAAAAAACTCACTCTCTTGCAAACAAAAGGTCTTGGATTATTACTCTCTGCTCAGAGTAGGCAAATTAAAATAAAATGATTAATATAAAGCTTTAACGCATCCAAAGAATCATTAAATGCTTTTATTTTATAAAATAGTATTGATATTTTATTGATAATTACTATGCAGTCAATAATAGTTAGTTAAGTGAAAAAGATAAACTAATATATGTTAATTTATTGTAATTATCAAAATTACATAACAAAAAAAAGTAAAATAAAGTTTATTAATTAAACTTTAATATTTACCGTATACTTAATAGATTTGAATCATGTGATTCTGATTTAAAACAAATCCCACCTAAAACCCTATAATATATATAAATATTTGAATTTTAAAATCTTAAAAAATTGTATAGATATATTGAATGTATCTAATTTAAAAACATTTTGATTTTCAAAAGACAAGGATTTTAATATCCCTTTTGTGAACCAAATTTACAAATTCTAAATAATTGGTATAAAATTTAAATAATATGATATTTTATCATATAAGTACTTCATATGCTAATAGCTTATTTTTCTAGAACATAACTTATCAACACCATTGGTAAAAAATAAAAAATATGTTAAATGGCACTATTTGAATGCTATTCGACATGCTATTCGACTTATCACATGTCTTCGTGAATATGAATGTCCATAAAGTCATATGATAAGTTGAGTGGCATATTGAATAGCACGTCAAATAGCATTTGAATAGTGCTATTCAACACTAAATTTTTTATTTTTTACTAGTGCATGATTAATTATAGTTTTAGTAAAAAGTATAAATATTATTTTACTTATATTTTGCTCAATCATTGTTAGAAATTTAAATCAAAATTTTATTCAATTCTAATCTCTTGAAAAGAGTAGCCAATTCCTACTTCACATTAGTATCAACTGCAGGATGTGTATTATCATTGATGAAATGTTCTTCTTCATTCATATACTCATCATCAATATCCTTATTTTCAAAGCGCTGCTTTTCATCTTTTAACATGTTCAACCATTCTTGTAAATAACTATCAAAATTATCCTCAATATCTACAGATTCACTATCTGATTCTTTATCTGAAGATTCATTTTCAATATCTTTTGCAGGTTTATTTTTAATATTCTTCGCATGTTTATTTTCAATATCCTTCGCAGGTTCATTTTCAATATCTTTTGCTAGTTCATTTACTTCAACATTCTTTGGAGGCGCATTTATTCTTGAAAAACTTGAATCATTTATACTACTTAAAGAAGAAGTTTCAAGATTAGTTGGTTCTGTTTCTATAAGTATACTAGATTTATCGCATAAATCTGCTTTATTCTCTGTTAAATTAGTTTGAATTCGATGACTATATGTAATATCCGCATACAATTTGCTTATTTGTAAAGCTTTGAGAGACTAAATTAATTTAATAAAATATTATTTTTAAAATAAATTAATTTTAAAGACTTTATATAGACTTACTACTAAATAATTTTGATGATTTGTTTGAAGAAATCCTATGCAACTCCAAAGCTATTCTACTGTAGCTGTATTTACATATATTCCAAAAATGCGACTTGCAACTAAGCCTAATTCTTCTGTTGATATACTTGCAAAGCACCAATAATCATAGATATTGTCTGAGAAATGATTCCATGTGTCTGTGTCAAAGGGATATTTTTTTAAGCAAAAGTCATCAAATTCTTTTAAAATTCATTTTGACTCTTTTTCAGATCATGTATGATAATAATAAACTAGCCATGGACCAAAGTTAGTATAGTTAATATTTATATTAAACTTTTCTATATGGGAACCCCCATAGCAAAACAAACCATTGGGCAAAAAATTTTGATTTTGTAATTTTA